ACAGATTTACAAAGCAAAAGTAAGTGTCTTAGTTGCTGTTCTATTTTACTGTGAAGAGACAACCATGACCACAGCAACTGCTATAAAGGAAAGCATTTTAGTTGGAGGCTTGCTTACAGTTTCAGGGCCTTAAACTCCATTATCATCATGGCAGGGACCATGGTGGCACACATGGCACTGGAGTAGTAGCTGAGAGCTACTTCTTGATCCCTAGACAGCAGTCAGAGAGAGACAGAGAGATAGAGAGAAAGGAAGTGAGAGAGATGCAGAGGGAGGGGGAGAGAGAGAGTGGGCCTGACTTATACTTTTGAAACCTCAAAACCCACCCCCCATTGACACGTTTCCTCCAACAAGGCCACACCCACTCCAGCAAAACCACACTTTCCAATCCTTCTAATCCTTTCAAATAGTGTCACACCCTGATGACTAAGCATTTAAATATATGTGCCTGGGAACCATTCTTATTTAAATCACCACAGTAAGTAAAGTTTGTTGGAGAATATATTATGAAAATTCCTTTTATTTCTGCTGCTTATTTTCTTCATGAAACTTAAAGTATGGAATCATGGTATTATGTGAGTATTAAGTATCAGTGTTGTGCCACATTTTATTAACACATCAATTTTTATTTTTAATGTTTCACTCACATTTCATTCCTCCCTTTATTCCTTCAGAAAAAAAATCTGTGTAGAATCTTGTGCCTGGTACACTTATATCACTTCCATTAAACAAGACAAAAACCTATTGCATTGGAATCTAGCTATTCATCTGCCAATTTGCTGAAACTACTCTCTTAAGAGAGTTTCCAAGTCTACACCAGCTCACTTTAACCTTGATCGTGCTGGCCATTGGAAGAGCTGTCCCTCTGACTTCCAGAGTGGTGCCTTGAGGAGTCTTTATGTCGCTCTTCCCATTGCCCCAGTAAATCCGTCTCTATTTCCTTTTTCTCTTCCCACCACCTAAATATTAAATTCTCTTAACACTCTTCTTCCTGATGCTTGTGCACCCAAAAACTTCTTTCCCATGCCAAACCTATACACCATTCACCTCAGTGAGTTTTCCCATCTGTATCACCAGTCTCAAACTCTGTCGGAAGCTCCTGGTATACATATTACTAGTGATGGGAACTGTCCAGTGGCAGGTCATGTTGGCTCTTCAAAATGACGAAACATGAAAACTGAATTTAAAGGGCCCAACATCGTTAGAAAATTTTCATAGCTAGAACTATACATGTAGTATCTTTAAAGGTGACAACCCAAATAATTTTCTAATATATTTAAAATACACAGAAGTAAAAAAGGAATAGAGAGAAAAAGAAGAAACTAGTGTGGGTTTTGTAAGCTGATCTGAGAAAATCACATGGAAAATCATGACACGGAGACTTATTAGTTATGAATGCTCGGCCTGAGTTTAGGCTTGTCCCACTAGCTCTTATAACTTATTTTAACTTGTTTCTCTTCATCTACATTTTACCTTGGGGCCTTTTACATTTCTTTCATCCTGATGTCCTACTTCCCTGCTTCCTTCATGTCTGACTAGCTGGTGGCTGCCTGGCTGGCTGGTCCCTGGCATCTCTCTCATTCTCTCCTCTCTGGAGCCCAGATTACTCCTAATACTTATTCTCTCTGCCTGCGATTTCCACCTCCCCCTCTGCTGCCGTTCAGCTTTTTACTAGACCAATCAGGGGCCTTAGGCAGGCAAGGTCAAACAAATGTAACACACCTTTCCATAGTTAAACAAATGCAGCATAAACAAATGCAACACACCTTTTCATAGTCAAAGTAATATTCCACAGCATACACAAATGTAACACATCTTTATGTAGTTAAAGTAATATTCCATAACACACACTTATTCCTGGCCAGCATTAGGTCCTCCATCAAAGACAATCATTCATTTTTATTATTGAATTGACTTTGTTTTTAGATTGTGAAGACAAGATATAAATAGATAGACAGACAGATAGATAGATGTATATGATATATGTGTACATATGTATATATCAATATATGCATTATATATGTATATATGTTCACATGTGTGTGCAAATGATATATCTCAATATATGCATTATACATATGTGTGTGTGAAAGGGTTTGAGTAAATTAGGAACTCAATAAAATTCAGCAGAGCCCTGTGTTGGGTAATCCATACCTTGCCATCTGTTTATAACTGCACATGGCTCTGTCTGTTAATATTGCCATATATACCTAACCAGTCTTGGAAAATATGCACAAAGGAAAAGGCAGAATTATGATAAGACCAAGACCATGCACAAAAGAAGACTTGGAAAGGTCATTGGGCCTTCCAAGAAGTAAACTGAAGGGGAACCAGAGCCAAGAAGCAATCTGGAAGAGTGGGAAGTTCTGGACGTCAAAGCCCAACTCCTAATGTGAGCACAGAAAAGGCAACACATGCTCCCATTATTCAGTGTTCTCCGGGAGAATAGGAAGTTCTGGTGCAGCAGGAGAGCCATTTGCATTTCAAATTCACCCCTCTCCAATTTTCATTTCACATCGAGAACACTTTTAAGAGTCGCTAACAGGCCTTTTCCTCCCTTAAGTTCCAACTGCAAGCTCACACACCACATTCTATGAGTAGCTAACACTTTCTTAATTGTCCTCTTGGCTCTTGAAGTCATGTGCAATGGCAGGGTCTTGCTAATCTATGCAAAACACAAGCCATGGATGATCTCCTTAGAACCTTTTGAATCATGGAGCTAGTCTACACATAAGATAGAGCTTTGAGCCAGGAGGCTAAGGGCTATGAGTTAACTGGAAATTCTATGAGCAGGCATCTTCTTCCTGTTGTGTTATCAAGGCTCCTGTTTCTGCTGTGTCCCTTGGTACCTTTGTCTTCAGAGGTCAGATTTCCAAGAGTCATGGTTTAGCAGGCCAGACACCCAGGGATGAGCAGTCTTCTCCCCTAGATGCCCAGTGAATTCACTTCTGGCATTTTAGCCCTAATAATGTTCTTTCTTCTGTTCTCATGTTTTTGCCTCTGATACTAACATTTCAGGATAATCCAAGCAAGTATTGGGGGGAATGCTTCTTGAGTTTCTGCAATTAGTGTTCTAAAATTGAATGTGATAGCCGTACCATCAAGTAAGAAATAATTCCTAAAATCAAAAAAAGAATCCCCCACTGAAAGGGAGAAAAAGGGGAACTCTTCAGGATTATCCTTCACTTGGACTCTAAAAACCTGGAAGAGCAGTGATTCAGGAGTGAATGATACAATCACCCTCTGAGTGAAGATGGGTGATAATAGCTTCATTAAATAATCACTTTCCATGGAATGCAATGTATGTTCCAAAGGAGTAATGTGACCGTTTTGATGATAGATGTGAATGGCTGGGGAAGGTAGCCTAGTGTAAGTTTTAACTCAACAAGTTCCCACAGACCCCTTCACACTTCCACTGCAGAAGCTGAGGGAAGCAATCCCCTCACTTCCTCTTTATGGACATTTCACAGCCTTCATCTTCTTGTTAGTCCCACTGAAACTGAGAAGTAGAAGCATGGTCATTTATTCCCTTGTTGAGTGAATTCTCTGAAAACAACCCAATTTGTCTGCCATTTTATGGTTTTCAACCAATTCTTGCCATGAAGCCTTGTGGCCTTTCCATGTCTTGGTGGTCATTTATTTTTATATCACCAAATCATATAAGTACAAATGACTCATTGTCAGACCAAACTGTCTTATCTCAAAGTGGGAAAATGTCATCATCGCACCCATAGGCAGTATAATTATTTGTCTAAATTTTGAGAAGATTCAATGTAACTCATATATTCACAATATACCTTAAGATCCTTGAACCATTGCAAAACTGTAAAGACTTACTGTGCTCAACAGGCTACTGGGATTTGCCATATCAATAATCTGACCAAGATACTCTTTAGACATATATGTGTGTGTGTGTGTGTGTGTGTGTGTGTGTGTGTGTGTGTACATTATGTGTGTGTGTGTGGACATATATGTCTATATATATAATCAATTTTTATATTTAATATATAGTGAATATTTTATGTATCGATACTTTATGTATTAGACTTATATTTATCTATTATAAAATATGTATTTATTTATATATTGAATATTTTCTTTTTCTCTGTATTGAATATATATGTTGTATATTGTATGTGTCTATTGAAGAGATATATATTTCGGATATACATATATACATGTGTTCAACATATATCTTTTGAAAAATATAAATTGGTTGCATTTACACCATACAGTATTCTTTGAAATGTGTATATTGTGGAGTGGCTAATGTGAAGTCACTGGCGTCTAAACTGCCTCATGTAATTGTCATGTGTGGCACATATTTAAATAGAGAACAATGGGGAGAAGACAGAAGGCCTAAACTCACTTCGTAATCATGTCCTCTTCGACACCATAGCTAACTACTCATATGCTGCTATCAAATAATTGAAGTCTGACTAGCTGACATTAATAGACGCTGTAACTACAAAGTACATCCCAGGTTTCAAATATTTAGTATGAAAAGGCAAGATGTATGGTGCCATTAATCAATTTTATGTTGCTTGTGTGTTGAGATGATAATAGCTTGGATATCCTGGGTAAATCACATACATGGATTATTAAAAATGGTTTTACCTTTATCTTTCTTTTTAAAAAAAACTGTGTGGTTTCTGCTGTATTCTATTAATCTGCCTAACCTGTTGAGAATGATGCAAACTCCTCTAGCCTGCTTTGAAACAAGACATTAACTGTGCCAGAAGAGAAAAAAAATGGAGTCATTAAAATGGGGCCAATCCTTGGACTCTCACTGGATGGGCGGTTGGGCTTTGCAAATTTAATTAGCTAATGGAACGCTGGCTAAGAACGAGGTCCATATGGTTGTTTTTCCTTCAGCTACGGGCAAAAAAAAAAAAAAAATGTGTAGTCACTTCTGCTGAAAATCTAGTTGCATAGTTGTTACTGTGGTAATTCTCCACTGAGATTTAAAATAATATCAGTAATAATCTGAAAATCTGTACCTGAATGTGCTGTAAGATCATGGGAGAAGCAATCCTTTGGAAGTATCCACATAGGCTTGCAGCAGTTGTTGGAACGTTGGAGCTTCTACACACAATGCACCTGGTAATTGCATAATTCTTATAAAATAAGTAACATGTTAAACCAGTCTTAAAAGATAGGACAGTGCATCCTAAATTTAAGATGTTTTCTGAACAGACGTTAAGGATGTTGCCTGAATAGTAACTTCTACAAATGGCTTTTAGAACCATGTCTGTATGTTTCAAATGTCATTTAAAGAACACCCAGACCGCTGTATATTTTTTTCCTTCCTCCCTGAAATTTGGTTTGCAAAATTGTTTTCAACCTTTACCACGCTGGATTTAGATTAAATTAGATTTAGATGAAAGGATCTTGCCTCTACCCTTACCAGCACTTACTTAGCAGCTAATCTTTCCCAATTTATTATTCTATTAGTCTTCACCATATGGTATAATTACGTCTTTTTGGCCAAGATACCGTGGGCTATTCTTGCAGCTTTGTTGGACAACTGATAGAAGCTTTAGCACTAGGCATACCAGAATGGCATTCTTTTTTTTCAGTCTAATGATTTGAGAATAGTTGGTGGACGAGGAACATCTTCTGTTTAGATTTTGCTGGCAGCAGCCGGTAAATGGAAAGCCCCAGTGGTAGTACAGTGTTATGGGAACAGAGTGCTTGATTCCCAAATACCACAATGAAGCTCTCTAGTTATAAACCACCCCAGTCTTCTACGCCCTGTGCTTTGTTTACCTCTGGCTATGCTCTGAACGTCTTTTCCATTTGCTGATGAAAGCTGTGTCTCCAGGTTCACTTCCTCCAGCAGCAGGAATGCCGAGTTTCTACAGAGTGACATTTGGGAGGAACTGCAAGAAAACAGGGCAAGAGGGGCCTGAGCAAACCATCCGGAGAGTCAGCCAGCTGCTGAGGACAGGGGGGAAGGCTGCCTCAAGTTTATCCCTATGTTTTATTGACTGTGAGCAGTTGGCTTAAAAGCAGCCATCCCCTGCTGCTGTCTGTGTGGGCTGTGAGCATAACAGGGCAGTGGAGTCACTGAGTTCTTCACCATGGATGTCATTTCTCGTGGCTCATCATGGTGACACCTTTTAAAAGCATATCTGAAGTTGCTTATATAGATGCCATTCTTCTTGGCATCAGCTCCTGCTGGGAAAGCCAGGAACATACTCTATCTGGTCCTAGAGACAGTTTCTTAATCACAAGAGCATTCTTTAAGACAAAACATTAATTGGAATTTGTGAACAGAGACTTCTTGTCTAAGTGATACAATGATGTTCCATGCTCATGACTCTGTGCACTGCATAAGGGAGGCATCTGATTTCTTTAGGCTTCATCCCGTTTAGCTACTTATACCTTGGTAATGGTAGGTTGTGATTTCTAGGGATGCTAGAAGGAGTAGAGGAAATGCTATTAGTTCAGGAGAAAAACAAAACTGTATGGCCTCCATCATAGATTTTACTTATTAAACAATTGTGACTACTTTCTCTCCTCTTGAGAAATGAAATGTTGTGGAAGATATAACTTTGCTTTCAATGTGCTAATAGATCAGTCTTGGAGATCAAATAGGGATATAATCATGCAAGGCAGGAATTGATGGGCATGGGGAAGGAGAGGCTACAGAAAACTTACTCTGGTAAATTCAGAACAGAAATGTCTGATTCTGAATGAATGACTCACATGTGGCTGGCATGGTGGAGAAGGCAGCCTTACAGCTTGGGAGACACACAGGCATGGAACTAGAGCACTCCAGGTGAAGAGAGCTACACCCTAAGTGATCACAGCCAGATTCCAATGAGAACATCAAACCTCTTGACTTCTCCTCATTACCCTGAGTTGACAACTTTTGATGCATTTCTCCTTCTCACTCTTTGCATGCCTGGTGCCAGTCTAAATTTCTATAAGCTCATCCTTTGAAGATGGTTCAGGTATACACACACACACACACACACACACACACACACACACACACACACACACACTTAGTATTTCTATGTCCAAAAGGTTTTCCATATTTCAGGTTGTATGACCCTTTTCCTTGGCTGACATGACCCACATCTGCATAATTCAATCTAGGATTTCCAATAGCCTCTAAGTTTCCATTGACATAAATAGATCTTCTGTACAATGCAACATTCAGAGACAGTGAACCATGACCACACCTTCAGTCTAGACCAGAGGTTCTCATTGGCCTTGTGACAGGGGAGAGTTCTTATAACAATACTTTTGCTCTAAAACAAGCTAATTTCTGTTTCTCTCCAAAATAAAATAGTCACCTCAGAACCTCTGGTTTAAAATAATATGTACTCCCAATTTTTTTCCACAAAGGAATAAATCTACAAACTACATCTAATTTTTTTATTCACACCTAGAAAGTTTTGAATAGGTAGAGAGCCCTGATCAGACTCCACCTGTCATGTCTTGGGTAAATTGTAAGAAATAGAAGCCAGAAAAATCACAAAACGTCTGCCCTAAGAAACATGAGAAACAGGGGTGATGTTTATTTTCTTTGTCCTGGTAATCTTAAAAGAGGTGTGTGTTCTTTGTGATAACGTTGTACTTTTTGAGGGTATACTCTCTTTGGAGTCATTTTTTTCAGTGTTTTGTCATATAACTTATATTCTACCTTCATCATCTTTTTTTTCCCATCAGAGGCAAAAAAGGAGATAATAGAACAAAAGAATGTAATGTGGAACTGAAAATTTTTTTTAGCATTCCCTGCAAAGTTATTTCACTATTCTTGCTCACAATAACTGGTTTCAATAAACATAAACATCTAAGTGGGCCGCTTCACTCCAAAATGAATCCATCACCTAACACTGTGTATTGGGGATGATGAGAACCACAGAGCCAACTAAGGACAAACTCTAGAGGGATGCAGAGGTTTTCTTCAGGCTCGCTGCAGTAGTTTCAGGACAGTGACTGACATCCTTGTGTGGCATTGTACCACCAGGGTTCCCCCAAAGAAGAGTTTTCATTGTGCATCCTTGAGAAGTTCTTGGTCCCCAAATCTACCATTAAGTCTACTAAAGTGATAACCCAAGTGGGACCGCACAAAGAGAAAGGGAAAGGTGGGGCTAAACTGTCAAAAAGATGGCTTTCTGCGTGCTAAAGCCAATAAACCCAGCCTCCCAGTCTAGAAGAAGTCTTCCAGGTTCTAGAAGCTAAGCAGACAAAAGTTGTGTGTGTGCAGCCCTTAAGCTTTAGAACCAAAAATTAATTTTGGGTAACCATAGTCCAAGAAGGACAGGAAATGATAGGAACAACAAAGTAGCCCCAGCCATCAAAATCTCTGGTCTTCTACCTACCACGGGGACACTGTTAATTCCTCCATGAATCAGAGAACTCCAAAGGGGGTTTGTGTGGTAACGACTTGAAATAGTCTATACTGCCTCGCTGAAGTTAGGAGATGTGTAAGCCAGCTGGTGAGTGCCCTGAGAAAGTCTTGACTCCTCCCATCGTTTGTGCTTGGCAAGCTCTCTGGAAAGATCTAACTCACCCTCTCCATGACAGTGTACAGAGGGACATTACTGTGATGTATTGAAGCGTGATGTAAGCTGATTCTGTTATGAAAACAATGTCATTTTAACTTTGGAATGACATCTGTTCTGTGTCACTACTTCTCAGGATAAATGATACAGGGATTTTTTTTTGGGGGGGGGGGCTTGATTGACCAAATATGGCCACTGGTGAGTATTTCTCCAGCCTTCTCAGAATGCCTCTGTTAAAACCAAACCTAAGAACAAGAGCCAAGAGTAAGTTCCTGTCAATTACACACTGACTGGTCATCATGTAGAACCAGGATAATGTGTCCAAAGGCATAAACTCTGGGCCTGCGATTTTGTACTTGTGTTTTTCTAACTGAGAAGAATTTTGAAGGCAAAGTTTCTTTGCAAAGTATGGGCGAGTTTTTTCTTTGCTTCCAAAATGCTAATTCGCACTGCTCTAGAAATACAAAAAGAGATTCTTTTTCACTGTGAGCAACACTGTGTCTTCTCTAAAGTCTCTTTTGCTGTCACACATCTTCTGGAGAAGTTCTGTCCTGTAGAAAATAAGCCTCAAGGGATGCGAGGGTTTTGATCACCAGCAGTATAGTACAGACTATACTTGGATTCTTCTGGAAGACCATTCTTTGCAGGGTGACCATTGTGGATTAAGAAATAGCCTGGAGAATGATGGCTTTAGGACAGCATGTAGACCATACCCTCCAAGTCCCATTCAAAGCAAATGATGATCTAGTCACAAGCCCCAAAGCACACAACCTCATTGTCCTTCAGTTGGCTCTAGCTACTATATATGCAACCTGTACATCCTTTCTTAGAGCACTGATGATGAGGACATCCCTCCAATATTATATCGACTGGAGAGTGGAATGTCTATAGAATTGCTGTGAACATTGTCAGAGTAATGATCACTCTGGGAATAAGCTCAGACATACTTTCCAGGTCAGGGAGTGTCTTGAAGAAAGGGCCTATCCAGTATTAAGTCTGCACATTTATGAGCACGCTCGGAACATACTCTCCATACACCTGAGAGGAGGTCAAATACCACATCCTTTACTTTGGGTTTTCAGTCACCTTTTTATTCCAACTCACTCTGCAGTTTATTTCAGAGTATAGAATATATTCTGTTTATGGTTGGGTAGGTTTTGTTAATAGTCTTTTTAAAACTAGCATGCAGTGTCCCACAGCAAATGAAATTAATACTTGAAATATTTTACAGAAATGACATGAAGTAATTAGATGTCAGTTGAGTGGGCATTTTGAAGAACACACAGCATGACTATCTGACATTTATATTTATAAATCAGTTTCCTGGGTTAGAGAAATACAAAAAAAAAATTCTCATTTGTAGCCTCCCATGAGAGAATAGCCAGTGTGCATGAGCCTAACACTTCACTTAACCACGGTTGTTTTCAAAATGAAGGATTGTGGTGCCATAGGATTATCTTCCCTACGATCAGCTCAGTTATGTCTAGTTTCTGTATTTTACTCATGTTGACACGATCACATTATTCCTATATCTTGTGTAGAACCACCACATGTTCAGTTTAGAAGAGAACGTGTACACAGAGACATTGTCGATGATTTAAGGTAGAAACGAATTTTAGTTGTGTAATGTCATCCTAAAATTTCAGAGAGTCTCCAAGATCCTCTACCTTTCCTTTCTTCTTTACAAGCACTGACCGAGAGTCAGCGAGTCCTCCGAGAAGCTGAGGGTTCTGCTTCTCCGCCCATCTAGTCAGTGCTGTCGAGTGTCCCTTGTTTATGTGGGTGAGAAGGCAACTGACAGAGGTAGAGATGGGGGCAGGAAGCCCTGCTTTCTCTCCGTGAAAGCCACCCTCCCCCCCCCCCATGCAGCATTCTGAAGCAGCCATTCACCCTGGACCTTTGCCAAAAGACCTCATCTAGAGCCTTGCCGGTAGCACCATGCTTAGTTCCACAGAAAGCGTGGGGAAAGTCCAACAAGCTAAGCAAAAAAAAAAAAAAAAAAAAAACCCAAACAGGAAAGAGTTTCAGAGATCAGTTTCCCTCCAGATACCCGGTTCTCTCCCATTCTAAGAACACTGAATTCGGCTTGAGATTCCTTGCTTAAAGATTTGAGTCAAGGGCAGCTGACCCAAGAACGTACCTGCCAGAGGGGCGGGATGCCAGGCAGAGGAGGATGTAAAGGGGAAAACACCTGCTAATGTGGCCAAGTGCCTCTCTTTCTTTTAACCACCTGCGTAATTAAGTGAATTTCTTAGGCTATTTCATTCATAAAAGTCAGTGAATAGGTTAGGGAATTAATTGATTGCTTAGACGCTGGCAAGCCCTTCTTAAGGAACCTTTCTCTCTATGGCGTCTTAGGC